GACTTAGTGGAGAATGTCTAATTTGATGGAGACATTTGGGCTCACGCAACAACATTTGGATTACTTTGTTAAAGGCTAATTCAACTCAATTAACTCAAACTGAAATAACTCGCAATTTTGGATAAAGTAATCTGTAAACAAGCGCCCCCAACCTTTCTTCTCCGTTTCATTTTTTTTCCAGTGAATTCACCGACACGCTGCCGGTGCTTTCGGTGTGCGGATCGGTCCTCTCCAGCGGAATCTCCGACGAAAGAACAAGTGGGATGGTGTTGGGCAAAGAGGGATTTGGGGCTAAGTTCATGGTTTTTCATTCACAGATGAGGGCATTTTATTGAAGAAGACGACTTTCATTTGTTTGAATACTGAAAGGATGTGCTATTGCTTTTTGTCAGGTGGTTGGTCTGATTTCAATTTAATAATACAGATCAAATAAATTAGGGGGCGGCAGATGTATTTGTAGGCCCACAATTGAAATAAGAAAGGAGAAATATTTTCGTACACAATCCCAATTAACTTAATTTCTCAATTATTTCAGTTTCACCAAATTAATCTGTAAACAAGAGCCCCCTTGGTTTGTCGGTTTGAATTTGTAAAATGTTTGTACTTTTTTTGTTCTTATAACTGATTTAATGTGCCTTGAATTACCCGAAACGCGAGGAAAGGGATTCTGATTTGGTTTACTTATAAATTAAAATTCATAAATAGGGATTGCATTTTTTTATAATTGTGTATCTGGTTTGGTTTACTTACAAATGAAAATACATAATTATGAATTGCATATTCTACTAATTAAGGATTTCACTTGTTATGATTGTTGCTCACAAATTGGTTGAGTTGGATTTTTTTTATTTTTATTTTTTTTTTTTTTTTTGCTTAATTTTTGCTTGTCCAACTTGTTGTGTTGATGATCTTTTGTAAGGAGTGAACTACGTTCTTAACACCTGGTGCCTCGTGCCAGTCGATTTGTATGGGGTAGATGCATTTAGTTGTGTGATGCAAAATTTTTAATTTATCGTGTTCTGTTTGCTTCCTATTATGTTTGTTGTGACTAGTTGTTTCCGATTATGTCGAAATTGTTTGTGGTGAAACATAGTAGATGTCGACATCGGCTGAAGGTGGGTGTACGCAAAATAAAGAAGCAGAAGCAAAGTGGCCTCTGGAGAATGAGGCTCGGTTAATATCGTTGATGTTGGACCAAGTTACCTTGGGGAAGTGCGTTGGGCAGAAGTTCAAAACAAGCAATTGGATGGATATCCAAAAAGCATTAAACAATATGTGTGGTCCCGAACACCATTACGAGATAACACAAATCACAAGTAAGCATGATCGGTTGAAAGTGCAGTGGCGTCGGTTTCTACAATATGCTGCATAATACAACCGGGTTCGGTTGGGATACTGCAACTGGGAAGATCACGAGCGGTGAAGAAGTTTGGAGCTGGTGGATTACGGTTAGTTCACTTGTTCCATTTGTTTCTTATTATGTTTGCTGTGACTAGTTGCATGTACTTCATGTACAGTTGAATTTTGAAAAAAATATGCATTTTCCGGAGGTTTTGTTTATTCTGGTGACGTAACAAGATATTATATGTTTGTTCTGACTAGTTGTACTTCATGTTCAGTTGAATTTAATATATAGTTCACTTGTTCCATTTGTTTCTTATTATGTTTGCTGTGACTAGTTGCATGTACTTCATGTTCAGTTGAATTTT